AATACAATAAGTTCACTTCCGTGTTTCATGCACATGTTTCGTGTTGACACACACACACATACACCGCGGAACTTTGAGCTAAGGGCGGGAGGAGATCTCTTAAAGAGACAGTGACAGCTAAAAATAAAATAAAAAATACAACTGGGATAGTTAACCTTAAAATGAAAATTAAGTCATAATTTTCTCACACTCAAGTTGTTCAAAACCTGTATTAATTTCTTGTGCTGAACACAAAAGCAAAGGTTTTTAAGAATGTTGGCAACCAAGTACAGATTCTATATGGAAGTCAATGGGGATCAGCAACTGTTTTAAAAAATATATATATATTACCTTTATTTAACCAGGATAATCTCTCAGAGATTAAAAATCTCTTTCACAGGAGTGTCCTGGCCAAGAATGGACAGCAGTTACAATCACAAACGTACAAATCAAAACAACAATAAAATTAAAACACTTAAAAACATTTGCACATCATTGAGTCTTCTTCAAGTGACCGCATAATAGATTTAAAATGTTCCATAGGCACCAGAGTTTGTAATTTCAGTTTTGTTTGGAGTAGATTGCATTCAAATGCGCTGCATACGATACACAAAAGCCCCTTTTCCGGTTCAAATGGAACAGAAAGAGTAAAAAAAATATATTGCGAATATTTCCCAACACTTAGTTCGGTTACCAACTTTCTTCAAAATATCTTCCTTTATGTAAAGAAGGAACTGCATGTAAGTTTAGATTATAGAATGACTTGGGTGAGTAAATAATGATGGAATTTAGATTTTTGTGAACTATCCCTTTAATGTATAATAGCCTAATATAATATAATAAATCTTATCTTATCTAACAGTCTGGTTGTGTGAGAGAGAATGAAATGAAGCATCATCAACCTCTGCTGTTGCTTGTGTTTTTATGCATGTCTCAACATGTCCGCTTTACCACCAGCTGAGGTGTGGGATTGGTTTAATCCACTGAGACTCCAGGATGAATCCAGGATAAATATCCTTCTCATGAGGGAATGAAAGTGGGGGATGAGATGAACATCTAAGCATCCGAAGAATTTTATTTTGATGGAAAATAATGAACTGGGTCTGTCTGAGAAAGATATAAATGCATTTGGTTTTTAACAGAACGTGTTCAGCACAGAGGTGAGAGGTCAAGGCAGAATATCAATTGATTCTTACATGTCTTCAGAGGAAATGCCCATGACTGACCTCACTAAAGTACCCAGGAAAATATTCTCCTTGAGATTCTGTTCAGTGCTGTCCAAATGTGGGCCAAAGGATACAGTTTTGCTGTTGTCATTTCACAACACACTATAGGAACATTCATTGAGACCTAAAAATATCCAGCAACAAACCCAAAGACTTCGCTTCTCCAGATTGAGTCTATGTTTGGATACAGTGTTATAATTTTATTTTCATAATTATAATAAAGTGCGTTCTGATTTTGATTCTAAGCTAAATTGTCCTGTTCTACTTATTATACTAGCCGTTTTTATGAGTTAATGTAATTGAAAGACATGGAATATCTGCACCTTTTTCCACACAGGATCTAGTGGAGGCAAAAATGAAAATAATAAATTGTGAAAAACCTAAAAGAAATGCTGACCAGTCACAGGACATAATATATATGTACATTTTAACTTAAATTTGTAATGCTGAATTTAAAAAAAAAAAGTTAATATCAGTGACATATCTTTTGCTTGATAAACCATTTATTCAGTTATTTTTAATAGAAGTAGAAGTTCAAAATATACTGATATTTGGCTAAAACATTCAGGCCATTTTTAAATACATTTATTTGTGAAATAACATATGACTTTAACATCTTATATAAATATCTAAATGCTATGAAAATGGTGACAAGGGTGTTTTTGGACAAGCTGTAATGTTCCAGGCATGAAAATAATTTCAGGAAAGATGCCCAGAATTTTGATTTTGTGGAATCGTGGTGGTTCATTTTAGGTAATTTGTAGTGTGTCGTCCCTGTGAACCTTGAACTCTCTGACATCCCAAAGCTCAAAGCACATATTTATGGGAGAACGTTCCTGTGTCCCACGAGTGCATGCACAGGGAATCTTGACACAATACTGAGGTTAAATAAATCATAAAAACATGGCAAACAAAACAGTTCTGCAGAGTAATCTGTCCTCTCTAAATCCCCAGAGAGGACATATTTTTAAAGCCATGTCATTTGGGAGGATCCCTGGTAAGATATGTTGTAAAACACTGTACAAAGGTGGAAAACACTATTAAAATAACATACAGTATGGACTAGCTGCTGTTTATTAACACAATAAACATTTTTGATATTAAATATTGGTATTGAAAGCATAATATGAGTGTGTGTGTGTCTGTGTGTACTTAATGTGTTATAGGCTATTTAATGGATTTTTCAGCAAAATTCAAACAGTATAAAGATCATGCAAAATAGATTTATAAGCGAAAAATCATAGAAAATCATATTTATGTTTAAACTATTTTGACATTTTAAAAGCAAAATGACCAGTCATTACAATCTTCACAGAATTAAGCACTTGCAACACCATGTAAATGCAGGAACTTTAGTACCATAGTGAATTTCAAAATACTATAGTATCACCATAACATGTACCACACCTGTACCATATCACTGTACCATGATACCTCTGCATTGATTTTTTTTTATAAGATGTTTATAGATATTCTGCATGATAAAAACATGGTATTATCTGATTGGGGCACCATTTAAATAACATATAACATACTACAAAACGGCACTAGATGATAATACCATGGTATTTTTAGATTTACCATTGTACCATGACATTTTAAGGTTCTGCAAAGCACTTTCAAAAATGACCTTGGTACTACCCATGGTAGCCTAAATGTCTAAAATACCATGGTTTCACCATGATACCATGTCCAAAAAACATAAATATTAAATATATTACAATTAAAACATTGTCTCATTTTTCTCCACATTACAGCAATGAGAATTTGTGGGGGGAAATGTGGTTAATTATAATGAAAAATATATTTAAACTAGACCTATTTTCACATTTAAAAAGCAAAATGACCTAGTCATTAAGCTTCACAGAATTACGTCATAATGCAAGAACCAAAAAAATCAATGCAACAACAAAACTGATAAGGGCGCGTGACAACTGGAACACATTCGAGGAAACATTTCAAATGACAGCTAAGTAAAAGGGTATGGGGTCCAAAAGCGCAGCCTCTGATTGGCTACTATCTCCTCAGCCACGCCCAATGTCAATACGCCCCTCCCTAATGATGTTTGTGACCTGTTTTGTGACGGAGGAGCAAGTCAAAACACCGGTCACTGTACGCAAAGTTATTTAACAAGCTAGCGGAGAAAGCAGATGTCCATTCAACAGACGTGTGTCAGTGATTGTTCATCACTTTAGAAACTTTTTAACCGCAAGACGTTAGTGTTTAGGTAGTTATTATAACCCAAACGTTAGAAGCTCACTCTGATGTCATGTATGGATCGTCCGCGGTGCGTCAAGCGCGTGAAAGACTGTAAACGAAAGTAACCAGAGGGATTTACTAACTTTATTTGAAGAGTTTTTTTTTCCAGAAGAGGAAAAATCATGTTCCCTATCGACTCTCCGTGGAATATTTCTTTCGCTGGCTGTGGTTTTCTGGGTATTTATCACATCGGAGTGGCCAGCTCTCTCCAGGAGCACGCGCCGTTTCTGGTGGAGAATGCGCGTCACATTTACGGCGCGAGCGCAGGCGCGCTCACGGCCTCTGCGCTGGTCAGCGGGGCCTGTTTGGGTAAACACAGATTTATATGTTACACCTCATAACATATTCACAAGAAAAAGTACTTAGTGTCATGGTAATTCAGTGTTTTTTTGGGACATTTACCCTTTCAAAATACCATAGTATCACCATGTTATACTATCACTGTACCATGATGTGTCATGGACATATTTATAGATATTTTGCATGGCAAAAACATGGTATTATTTGATTGGGGCACCATTTAAATACAATAAAACGTACTTTGACGGAACCAGATGGTAATACCATGGCATTTTTTAGATTTACCATTGTACCATGATATTTTATGGTTCTGGAAAGCACTTTCAAAATAACGTTGGTACTACCATAGTACATGTTTAAAAAACAATGGTATCACCATGACAACATGATAAATATTAACATTTTACTATTAAAACATTGTATAATTTTTCTCGACATTACAGCACTGAGAATTTGATTGGAAAATGTGGTTAATTATTATGAAAAATACATCAGAACATTATTTTTATTAAAATGAAATAATAAATCATTATTTTTTCTCACATTACAGTAATGAGAAATTGATTAGAAAATGTGGTACATTATCATGAAAAAGAATGTCACAAAGCAAAAGCTTTATTTTCTTTCTTAAGGTCCTTTTTTGTTAGTGTACCATCTGTGGTATCTGTGTCAAAGATTAAATTCTTGTGTGTCGTGACTCGTGGCACAACATCCACCTGTTGCTGTGATCATTGACTGCTCTCTTTCTGGTCCTGTGACAGGAGAGGCCGGAGCCAACATCATTGACGTGGCTAAAGAAGCCCGGAAGCGCTTCCTCGGGCCCATGCACCCCGCCTTTAACCTGGTGAAGATCATCCGAAACATGCTTCACCGCACGCTCCCCCCCGACAGCTACACGAGGGCCAGCGGCCGCCTGGGCATCTCTCTCACCCGCGTGACGGACGGAGAAAACGTGCTGGTGTCACACTTCAACAGCAACGAGGAACTCGTGCAAGTGTGTACTTACACACACACACTCAAACACATCTTCATTAGCACTTGTTTAACCCATAATCAACACACTGCAGTAGGTTTAGTGATAATCAGCTCACATGACCTTATAATAATACTCAGCTGTAAACAATCATGAATTCAAGATATTTACAGTAAATGCACATGGTTTTGAATTAGATCACAGTATTATTGTGGATTCATGTCCAAATCCCTTGTTCTTATATGTACAGGCGTGTATATGCAGTACTTACATTCCCGTGTACTGTGGCCTGATACCGCCGACCCTGCAGGGAGTGGTGAGTGTCCAGTCATTATATAATTATTACCCATAATATTTATTTACAACTGCAATATGATTAGGCTTTCTGTGCTCTCTCAGATTTTTGCAAGCATGTGTCATCATGTGCTTGTGTTACATATATCACTAAATTTGAAGCACTAATGCTGGTCGACTAAGCAAAAGCAAAGTCGACTTGCTTTGTTTCTTGCATTATTAAAAAGATAAAATACAATTTATGGAAATATTATGCAGTCATAATTCAGTTGCAATGTTAATCTTTTCAAAGCAACACAACACTGTCAATTTAAGTCTTAGTTTATTTATTTAGAATAAGGTAGAAGTGATTATTACAGTACTGTTCAAAAGATTGGGCCTGTAAGAATTTCTTAAAAAAAAAAAAAAAAATTAATACTTTTATTCAGCAAGGAAGCTTTAAATGGTTTAAAATGGAAAGTAAAGACATTTATAATATAATATTTCATAAGAATTCTGTTTTCCGTTCTTTTAAACTTTCTATTCATCAATGAAACCTGGAAAAAATGTATCACGGTTTCTACAAAAATATGATTTCAACTTTGACAATAATAATAAATGTTTCTTGAGCAGCAAATCCTCGTATTAGAGTGATTTCTGAAGGATCATGTGACACTGAAGACTGGAGTAATGATGCTGACAATTCAGCTTTGATCACAGGAATACATTATATTTTACAATACATTCAAATAGAAAACAGTTATTTTAAATTTTAATTTTTGTAAAAAATATTTTTATATTTAAAAACTTAAATAGGGTTTTACTGTATTATTGATCAAATAAATGCAGCCTGGGTGAACAGAAGAGACTTCTTTTAAAAACCTAAACCTTTGAACAGTAGTGTATGTAGAATTCAGAGCATATTTAATGTTACTTATTCATTTGTTTATTCATTTGTTTTTTACATGTAGTTTACATGCTGATGTTTATTACTGATGGTTGTTTAAATCACTCACTTAATATGAGCAATAGTGATGTTTGACATAATAAACAGCACTAAATTAGGGCAGAAATCTCTCTAAAATGTTGCTAAAATGTTTAAAAGCTTGCGTAACTATTACTTCTGTTTTTAAAAAGTTGTGTGTCATTGAGAAATGGGGAACTTCTATATTCAGTGATGGTTGTGTAAAGAACGGTGTTGTTTTCATCTGGATTCAGATGTTGTGCCAGGATAAATAGTGTTATTTGTTGTTGTTGTTTTTTGTAGGGTTTACTTTCTTTCATTTCCCCTCTAGTCGTCGGATCGGTGACCTTTGCCAGTTTTCTGATCTTTGCTCTAGTTTTCTTGTTTTCCTTGAGTTTTGAATTGTTTGTGTTTCTGAGCAGTGTGTTTTTCCGCTTCCTATTCATTTTTGAGCGCATCTCACAAAAAATGCTCAGGTCACATTAAAAAAAAAAGAAATTATATTTTGCTTTAGAAAAATTAAGTGTATTTTTTATTTTATTTTTTAGAACCATTACGATTTTTGCATCGTGACATTATTATCATTACAATTAAATATGTACCTTTTTAAATGCTCTTTGGTAAAAACAATTTCGGAATGGTACGAAAAAAATAAGGATATTAAAAAAAAATGGTCACGCTTGTATTGTTCACAGTCAAAAATGAGCACATTGGAAAAGGATGGGAAGGGAATTTCATCTAGTGGAAACGCTTAGTACTGCACACAAACAAAATCTTACTGAAAGCTCATTTTTTGAGAGAACCTCAAATTTGGAGCACAACTTGTTTAGATTTATGGCTTTGATTGGAGCTAAACATGTTTTGGAAAATATATATTTTCATATAAAATGTATAAATAGTATTTTAACCCAGTTTCATAATACACTTAAACTTCTATAACTTTTTTTTTACTTTCACTTTTTCAACAATAATCAATAATCTGCCACATTTGGTCTTTAAAAAAGAGATCAAACTTAATCTGTGCTCTACAGCATTTAAGATTTAAAACAGTTTAAGTTTCAAGAACTTTCATTTTCAGGTCTATGCTCAAAAAGTTATTAATATAGGTAATAAATGGATCATAAATATTCCATAAATATAATTTAGTACCATGAAATTCAATTCCATTTAATATTAAATAAAAAAAAACAATATTGAACTAAAACATAGTACATTCATTTCATTGGAAAAAATTAAATAAGATTTTTAATACAGTGATGAGAATTTGAAGGATATATTATCATGAAAATAATGTCACAATGCAAAGACTTTTTCTTTTGTTTGAGATATACTCCTCTTTCCACTCATTTGTATGTTTATTAATGGTTGTTATTTTGCCACGCAGCTCTAAAAACCATTTTATGAAACAAACTCTCATTTGACACTCTTAAAAAAGACTACTCTGAAATAGACGAAATGTTTCCCTCAATGGAAGTGCATGTGTTTAAATGGCATCTCTGTTATTAGTCATTGAAAGGTAAAAGTTCAAGCTGATGTCAGATCAGTAAGATCAGTGAGCTGGTGTCCATAAGTCAATGATTGTGCAGTTGGCACTTGGCTCGCCTTCCCTGCGTACCGTGCCAGTGAATGAGTCAGTGTGTGTGTGTGTGTAGGCCGGGATTAGTGTATGTTTGCATATGTGCGTTGGCTGTGTGTGCGTGCCAACAAGAATCCTAAATAATGTGTTGTGTTGTGCCAAATATAAAAAGACTGCCAGCGCTCTGAAAGCTGCTGCTCTTTCCACTGTTCTGCCTGTTAGCAGCACTGCAGTAAAACACAAATCTACCTTAATGGTTTAACATTCACAATTTTTTCTCTCAGTTTTGTTTTTTTCATTTCAGTTTATTGAAAATGTATCAGAACTATTTCATCATAATAGGCCGTGAGACAGAGGGTTGATTGGTACCATTTTGAGGGATTAAACCGCATGGTGATTTTTGTGTAGGTATATGACCCTGTATTTAAAAAATGTGTGATAGCATTAGATTCAAGGTAGTTTTTGGTTACGGAGAACGATTTTCAAACATATGTCAAGAAAAAGGATAAATTTATTTATTTATCTTTAAATACATTTTAAATTTTATAAATTTTTTATAAAATTTTATGAAATTTTATCATTTTTTATAATAAAAAAATTATAATTTTTTAAAATACATTTTTAAAATTATAAAAGGTAGATTTTTCTCTCTTGTAGTCACTGAACACCTTACCTTGAGGTAGGATGATATAAGTGTTGATTTCTAATGAAAGCTACCATGGATCGGATGCTATCACACATTTTCCAACACTAGAGATGTGTACCTTCATGAAAATCAAAAAGAAATTTAATCCCTCAAAATGGTACCGATAGGCCAAATTTGGGGTCCCGTCTCATGGCCTATAAATGAATATTATTGTTCTGAGAATGTTTTTTATTAAATTAATAACATCAAGTTACCGTCTTAATTATTTATTTTTGTTAAATAGATTTAGTTTAGTTAGATGCACTCTGCAATTAAATTAAATTCAAGTATAAGCACTATTTCCTCATAAATTAATATTATTGTAATGAGAATTTTTTTATTAAATTAATAACATCAAGTTACCGTCTTAATTTATCTATTTTTGTTCAATATATTGTTTAGTTAAGTTGGATGCACTCTGCAATTAAATTAAAATAAAATAAACTGAAGACAAGTAAGCACTATTTCCTTATAAATAAGTATTACTATAATGAGAAAAAATAAATTAATAGCATGTAGTTACCTTCTTTACTTATTTTTGTTAAACAGATGGTTTAGTTTAGTTAGATGCACTCTGCTATTAAATTAAATTAAACAATGTTTTAGAGCATTGTTAAGGGGTTGTTATGGTGTACTGGGTGTTTACTAGAGCGTTGCTAGGTTGTTGCTAGGTAAGACAGTGGAAAGCAGGAAGTTTAACAAAAAGAACTAACATTAGGAAAATAGAATGAATTAAACGAGACATTTAAAAGAATAAAGGTATCTCTCTTTGTCTTTCAGCGGTATGTGGACGGAGGCATCAGTGATAATTTGCCCCAGTACGAGCTGAAAAACACCATCACGGTGTCTCCGTTCTCAGGAGAAAGTGACATCTGCCCTCGAGACATCAGCTCAACCAACATGCATGAGCTCCGCTTCACCAACACATCCATTCAGTTCACGCTGGCCAACCTGTACAGGGTCTCCAGAGCACTCTTCCCACCTGATCCAATGGTAACACACACACACACACATCTCGGGTGTTCATTTAACACTCTCTGTTGGATGTTCCCTTTTGAAATGGCCTAAAAATACACACTGACTGTCAAAATTATATAAATCTTGTGCTTGCTCACGTAAGTGCTTTTCTTTTCGTCAGGTGATGAAGCATATGTGCAAGCAGGGATACAAAGACGCTTTACACTTCCTGAAGAAAAACGGTGAGTAATTTCTAAAGGTTTCAGTTAATCAGATTTGTGTTTTTTATGTCAGCATATCGAGGACTAAATGAAGCAGAACGGTTTATTCAGTCCTGATATGGGCAGGTATTACAGTTATCATGCGATGTTTATGAAATGGCATTTATTATCGGTCTGCTGGCTCACAGCTGTGTTGGTGAAGATTATTTTTTATCATCTCTGTAATGAAGCGGATAGTCGAACAGATGCTGAGAGCTGCACTGGTGTTAGAGAGACCTCTAGTGACCAATACTGACATGACAGATCCGCCCATGAGATGGATTCCGTGTATTATTAAAAGTATATATATATATATATATATATATACACACACACACAATTTATATTTATATTAATATAATTTAGGTAGCTTTTTATATATACACACACACACACACACATATATATATTATTTTAATTTATGATTTTTAATTTATATTGGTTATATTTATAATTATTTTATATTATAAATAAAGTTATACAATTATATTTGAAAAAAATATTTATTTATTTCATTTATACATATATATATATTTAAAAATGTAATT